GTGTTGAGGTTGGTGAAGCTACGCAGTACAGAGAGCCTGGGTCCCTGGTGATTGAGGAGCAGTAAGCCCACAGCTGCTTATATCTGGACTTAGTTTACATGTCAAAGCAACAAGCTCCTAGTTCTGTGAGCTACTGTTATTGAGTTTTCTGTCACTTGATACCAAATCTAATGCTAACAACTACAACTAGCTCGATTTTAAAGCACTTTATTTTTTATTTTTGAAGCAGTTTCAGGTTTATAATAAAATTGAGAGGAAGGTACAAAGATTTCTCCTGTATCACCTACTCCTTACATATATGTAGCCTCCCCCATTATCCATATCACTCACCAGATGGTACAGCTAGCTTCATTTCCATGAGGTATGGCTGCGATAACAAAGACCCAACCATGGGGGCTTAAACAAGTTTGAAATTTATTTCTGTCTTGCATAGAAGTCCAGAGATGGGCAGTCTAGGGCTGGTGAGATGGCTCCGTGGTCACCAAAGCCCAAGTCTCCTCTTATCTCTCTCCCATCCTTAGTGCAGATTTCCATTCTCAAGATCACCTGCCAGTCCAGGAAGGCTGCCACAGCTCCAGTCCTCACTTCTGCATTTAAGGTCACAGGAAAGGAGAAGCAAGGGAAGGCCCAAGGGGCTTTCTCAGTTCTCTGTCCAACTTTTAAGGAGTCTTTGCACAAGTACCACCCACGAAATTCTGCTTACAACTCACCGGTCCAGAAATTAGTGACACGTTCATAGCTGCAGAGGAAGCTGGGGGATGCAGTCTTTGGCTGGATACAACATTTGAATAATCACAGGGCATTGCTGTTATGCAAGAAAGGAAGAATGGATATTGGATAAGCAAGTGAAAAATCTCCCCCACATCTAAATATATGCTTCCGTCTCTTTGCTTTAACATTTCTGACCTTATGTTTTAGGTGTATATCCTACAATCAGTATGTGGCTAGACTTTGTTTTAGTCTATCTGGCCGGTAGATTTACTGTGTTTGCTAATATGCTTGGATTTATTTGTAAAACATACTTTGTGCTTCTACTTTCCTTGCTCTTATATATTTTATTTTTTCTTCTTTTTCTGTCTTTTATTAGATTGACTGCAGTTTCTTTTCCCATTTTTCTTTCTACTGGTTTGGAAACTATAGAATTCATTCTAATTTCTATTGGTTGTCCTTAATTTTTTAGCAATCATGCATGATCAGAGTACAAAATTTATGTTTTTATTCCCCTAAAATTACCCAGGAAGTTTTTCTGATTACTCTCTTCTTCATTTACATGCTGTTGTCATGTAGTGTTGTAGCTTCAACTTGTTTTAAACCCACTCAACACTAATCATTACCAGTACTATCTTATTTTACGGTAATGCTCACTTACATTTTTTTCTTTGTTTACCAATTAGCTCGCTCACCAGTGCTTGTTGTAGCCACTTCTTCCTTCTCAATTTAATTGCCATATTCTTTTTTTTTAAGTTTTTATTTATTTATTTAAATTGATCCCAGAGATGAAGGGAGAGGGAGAGAGACAGAGAGAAACATCAGTGATGAGAGAGAATCATGGATCGGCTGCCTCCTGCACACCTCCCACTGGGGATCAAGCCCACAACCCGGGTATGTGCCCTTGACCGGGAATCAAACTCAGGACCCTTCGGTCCGCAGGCCGACGCTCTATCCACAGATCCACACCGGCTAGAGCTAATTTCCATATTCTTGAAACAACCTTTAGTAGTCCTGGGAGTAGTCAACTTACTTGGGCTTTGCCTGGAAATATCTTTATTGTCCTCTCATCTCTTCATGACAGATATTCTCTGTATAATTCTAGGTAGAGTGGTAGTTTCCTTTGAAACTTTGGAGATGTTATTCTGTTCTCTTGGCTTTTGATGTTGAAATCCTCAGCCTTTAGGTCTCCGGATAAGAGGATCTGTATCTTTGATCATTTCCGGAAAACTCTTGATGGTTTTCACTTTATTTAAATTAAAAAAAAATTATATTTTTATTGATTTCAGAGAGGAAGAGAGAGGGAGAGAGAGATAGAAACATCAATGATGAGAGAATAATTGATCGGCTGCCTCCTGCACGCCCCACACTGGGGACCGAGCCCCAACCCAGGCATGTGTCCTAGAACCAGAATCGGAACCGGGACCCTTCAGTCCGCAGGCTGACGCTCTATCCACTGAGCCACACCGCTAGGCTTGGCGGTTTTCACTTTAAATGTTGACTCCATTCTCTCCAGCCCTTTAGTCTGATCAGATGCATGTTGGGGCTTCTCTTTCAGACTTTGTTAGTCTGTCTCTCTGTGATGCATTCTGGGTAATTTCTTCACAGCTGTTTCCCAGTTTACCTTCTGGCTTCAGCTGGCTTATTCTGCTTTTTAAACATTTGTTCAGTTTGTTTCAACACTTACATTTTTTCATGGATAGAAACTGCATTTGGTTCTTTTTTTATTTTTCACAACATATTGTCCTTAGGTTTCTGATTCCTGTTTTTATATGTATTTGGTTTTCATCAGCCTTACTTCCTGGAAGTCCGGATTGTTATTCTCCGACCTCAGGCCCCTGTGCACACTCACTTTGTATCCTTCTGCTGATGCAGGATTGCTTCTTGTATGGCTTGCAATTTTACTTTTTTAAAGAAGGTGGTTTTGTTTTACTAATTTTTTTTTTTTTAGAGAGGAATGGAGACGGAGAGTAAGAGAAGCATTGCTAGTCCGCCTCCTGCACACCCCTACTGGGGATCCACCCGCAACCCGGGCCTGTGCCCTGACCCGAAATCCAACTACAGATGTTTTGGTGCTCGGGAGGGCGATCGATGCTCAACCACCTGAGCCACACTGGCCAGGGCTGTTTTGTAATTTTAACGGCAAATTGTCTTCAGGGTTTTGTTTTCTCTAAAAAATTTTTGTGTAAAAAGAATGGAAAGTAGTTTTGTGTTTGTGTTTGCCATTTGCCCCAGGGACATCACAAGCCCTGGGTTTTAGGAGGGTTTCTCAGCTTGGCTGTCCGCACCAGGCAAATCCAGACGGCAGACCGGCGACAGGTGCATCCTGGGGTGTTAGCTCTATCCCAGCCAGCATTTCCTTGTTGCCTTTCGGTGGTGGTGTGTAGTTTCTTTCTTTTTTTTTAACAACTGAAGTTTAATAACATGCATATCTCCTGCATACCTGGGAGAGACCCAGAAAAATTGAGTAACTCTCCAAAATGGCCCAAGCCACACCGTTTTTCAAATTCAAGTTTTATTTTTTAATTATAGTTGACATTTAATATTTTCTTTTCATTTCAATTTACATAGCGTAGTGGTTAGACAATCATGTACTTTACAAAGTGGTCCCCGTGACATTCCAAGTACCCACCTGGCACAATACATAGTCATTACATAATAGAGGCCTGGTGCATGAAATCCATGCACTCGGGGGGCGGGGGGAGAGGGGGATCCCTCAGCCTGGCCTGCTCAGAGCCCTCAGGGGACATCTGACTGACAGCTAAGCGGGCCTAAGCTGGCAGTCAGACACCCTTAGCGCTGCTGCAGAGGTGAGCGTTGCTGCGCTTGCCAGCGGTGAGCCCAGCTTCTGGCTGAGCAGCACTCCCACTGTGGGAGTGCACTGACCACTAGGGGGCAGCTCCTGCGATGAGCATCAGTGCCCTGGTGGTCAGTGTGCATCATAGCAATTAGTCGTTCCGCCATTCAGTCTATTTGCATATTAGCCTTTTGTTATTTAAGATTATTGACTGTATTCCTTGTGCTGTACTTTACATCCCCACACTATTTTGTGACAACCAATTTGTGCTCCTTAATCCCCTCACCTTTTTCTGATGGTGTGTAGTTCCTTCCTGTTGGTTTGGGGTTCTTTAGTCCCCTCCCCTCGAGCCTCAGGTTGGGGCTTTTTACTGAGGTGCAGCCCTTCGAGGGTGCCGGCCTCCATACAGTGGGCCCCGTCCGTGCACGCACGTGTTATCTCGAGTGCATTTCCTTCAGCTGCTGCAGAGCGGCTCTCACACAGGCTGCCTCACATCTGATGCCTGGGGACTCTCCTCTCTTCTTAGTATTCAGCCAGTGGGTTACATTTCATCCAGCCTTTCTAGGTGTTTGTGCTGCGGAGTTTGTTTTTGCTTATTTGCTCTCTGTCTGAACCAGAAACTCTAAGTGAATCCCTCTCCGCCTCATTTTCCTCTGTAAAGTAATGGCACCTCCTCCATGGGTGTGGAGTAAATGAGATAAAGCAGGTAAAATGCTTCGTGTGGAATGTCTGGGGAAATATTTTTTTAAATCAATAAAATATATTAGCAAAAAAATATAAATAAATAAATAAATAAATAAATAAAAATGCTGTACTACCCACTGAAAATTATGGTTAGCACTTCATCTTTCCCAACCTTTATTCATATGCATATTCCCATGTAACTTATAAGACAGAAGTCCCCCTGCACTTGCAGATTTGCATCTGCTTTGCTCATCTGATTCACGCGTAGTCTGTGTGGGACCAGGGTGCCAGCATGGTCAGGTCCTAGGAAGGGCCCTCTTCCCAGCTTCTACACGGTGCCTCCTCTGTCCCACATGGGGGGAGGGGGGTGTGAGGCAGGAGGCGGGGCGTGAGGCAGGAGGGGGCTCTAGTCTCATCTTAAAGGAACACTAATCCCATGATGACCCTCATGGCCTCATCTCACCCTAATCACCTCCCAAAGGCCTCATCTCCAGATGCCACCACATTGGGGTTAGGGCTTCAATGTAAGACTTTGGAACACAGTTCAGTCTGTAGCAGTGAGAGTTCTCTACTAACAGCTGCCCCCGAGGCTGGAAGCTCACCTGAGATCTTAGCAAGAGTGAGTCGGTCAGATTCGCATCTTCTCCGCCAGAGTCCGCCTCGGCAGAGAGGGGGCGGGGCCGAGCGCAGTGACTCCGCGGCTGGGGCTTGGGGGGTAAACTCTGTTTCTGCAGGAGGCCGGCCCCCAGCCTGGGGGTGCCCGAGCGACCCTGTCTTCTCTGCTCTTGCCCCCACATCCCTCTGCCTGCAGGTCACGATGGGCCTGGAGCTCTCTCCTTCAGTCACTTTTCAGCTGCGGGCTGGCTTGGGACCCGTGTTCCTCAGTGGCCAGGAATGTTATGGTAAGTCTGAGCTTGGACCTGGGTAAGGTCTGAGGGTGCACAGGGCCAGGGATGTAATAAACACCCCAAAAGAGGAGGGCTCCTGAGTGACTAGAAAAAATCCCCAAAGGCACCACAGTTGCCAGTAGCCTGGGCTGGAAGGCCACAGGCACAGTTCTACCCCCAGTTCTCCTTCACCTCCCTGCACCTCACCTCTCTGCACCTCACCTCCCTGCACCCCCCCTCCCTGCCCCTCGCCTCCCTGCACCTCCCCTCTCTGCCCCTCACCTCCCTGCGCCTCCCCTCCCTGCACCCCCCCTCCCTGCCCCTCGCCTCCCTGCACCTCCCCTCTCTGCCCCTCACCTCCCTGCGCCTCCCCTCCCTGCACCCCCCCTCCCTGCCCCTCGCCTCCCTGCACCTCCCCTCTCTGCCCCTCACCTCCCTGCGCCTCCCCTCCCTGCACCCCCCCTCCCTGCCCCTCGCCTCCCTGCACCTCCCCTCTCTGCCCCTCACCTCCCTGCGCCTCCCCTCCCTGCACCCCCCCTCCCTGCCCCTCGCCTCCCTGCACCTCCCCTCTCTGCCCCTCACCTCCCTGCGCCTCCCCTCCCTGCACCCCCCCTCCCTGCCCCTCGCCTCCCTGCACCTCCCCTCTCTGCCCCTCACCTCCCTGCGCCTCCCCTCCCTGCACCCCCCCTCCCTGCCCCTCGCCTCCCTGCACCTCCCCTCTCTGCCCCTCACCTCCCTGCGCCTCCCCTCCCTGCACCCCCCCTCCCTGCCCCTCGCCTCCCTGCACCTCCCCTCTCTGCCCCTCACCTCCCTGCGCCTCCCCTCCCTGCACCCCCCCTCCCTGCCCCTCGCCTCCCTGCACCTCCCCTCTCTGCCCCTCACCTCCCTGCGCCTCCCCTCCCTGCACCCCCCCTCCCTGCCCCTCGCCTCCCTGCACCTCCCCTCTCTGCCCCTCACCTCCCTGCGCCTCCCCTCCCTGCACCCCCCCTCCCTGCCCCTCGCCTCCCTGCACCTCCCCTCTCTGCCCCTCACCTCCCTGCGCCTCCCCTCCCTGCACCCCCCCTCCCTGCCCCTCGCCTCCCTGCACCTCCCCTCTCTGCCCCTCACCTCCCTGCGCCTCCCCTCCCTGCACCCCCCCTCCCTGCCCCTCGCCTCCCTGCACCTCCCCTCTCTGCCCCTCACCTCCCTGCGCCTCCCCTCCCTGCACCCCCCCTCCCTGCCCCTCGCCTCCCTGCACCTCCCCTCTCTGCCCCTCACCTCCCTGCGCCTCCCCTCCCTGCACCCCCCCTCCCTGCCCCTCGCCTCCCTGCACCTCCCCTCTCTGCCCCTCACCTCCCTGCGCCTCCCCTCCCTGCACCCCCCCTCCCTGCCCCTCGCCTCCCTGCACCTCCCCTCTCTGCCCCTCACCTCCCTGCGCCTCCCCTCCCTGCACCCCCCCTCCCTGCCCCTCGCCTCCCTGCACCTCCCCTCTCTGCCCCTCACCTCCCTGCGCCTCACCTCCCTCACCTCCCTGTACCTCACCTCCCTGCACCTCACCTCTCTGCACCGGGCCTGTGCCGCCAGGAACACGAGGGTAGGGGTGTACTAGGTTTCATCTTCAAAGACTAGCTGTGAGGAATAAATGGGATGTTCAGGAAAAGCAGTTAGCATGGTACCCAGTACAAGCACGCACCTGACGTGTTAGTTTAGCCTGGCCAGTGTGGCTCAGTGTTTGAGTGTTAACCTATTGCCAGGAGGTCACTATTAGATTCCCACGATTCCAGATTGGTGTCGATCCCCAGTGCGGGGTGTGTAGGAGGCAGCCCATCAATGATTCTCTCTTATTTGTGATGTTTCAATCTCTCTCTCCCTCTCCCTTCTTCTCTGAAATCAATAAAAGTATATATTTTTTAAACGTTAACTTAAAGCGAAGTACGTAGCTGTAGCGGTCACATGGCCCACTAAGTCGCTGTGCTGTTGACTTTTGATATCC